TCTTCTTAGTTTGGGTGCAGAGAGGAGATAACTAATTCTCTTCTCAAATCTTGAAGGTAAGATTTGTTTTTCTTCACTAGCCAGGCTTTGTCCCAGCTGAATTGTGAGCAGGGCAATCCTAGGCAAAATGTGGCGCTCTCAGAGATCCAGAAAATAGGTTTTCAAACAGGTATGGAGGTGGGAGGCCGAGGAGAGTGAAAAGAGCCCTTGGTCTGCTTCAGATCCCAGAGCCATCCTGGCATCCTGGCCAGCCAAATCGCTCTCACATCTGGCCGTGTACACGCTCGCACCCATACGTTGTGGAGTTTAGCATCTGTACACATGTCCAACTTGCACTTAATTGCATATACACAGCCACAAACATTCTCTTTTACTCAAAGTGCTCCCTGAGTTCCTTTAATCCTGGAAGTCTGATAACTCTGGCCAGCTTGTTTCCCCGGCCTTGCCCCTTGCCGAAGCCGAACAGTTATTTAACTTTGCTTCCTGAATCGAAACCAGACGGCATACACCTCCGAGAGAAGCGTTGGGAGGAGGAGCCGGCTGGGAGGTTGTCTTGCGGAGAAGGCCTTGGTCCCCACTTTGATGGTTTGTTTCTAAGTCGCCCCAGTAGGTCAGGTTTCTAGCCACTGCCCAGGCAGTGGTTGGGCTGGTTTGCTCCGGAGAAAATCCCCTCATCCTCCCTCCCTGAGCAAAAGTCTTTTGTGAAGATCTCTTCTACTTTTCTTTCCTTTGTGCTTTTTTAAATTTCTTTTTTATTTCCCCTTCCTCCTTTTTTTGTTTCCTTCTCTTTCTAGTTTCCTTTCTCTTCGTTTTCTTGTAATTCATTTTTCCTTCCTCTTTTTCTTAATTTGATGTTTTCATTCTCCATTTTCTTTTTCTTTTTTCCTGTATTATACAATTTCTTCTTTGTTATTTTCTTTCCTCCTCAATTCTTTCTTTCTCTTTGGCTTTTCTTCCTAGGTTTTTTGATTTTTCTCTGTTGTGCTGGGCTCAGTGTGCATGGTGTGGGTGCACCGGGATTTTTCGCTGGCCCCTTGATCCTGGCCACTCTTGGCCACTCGGGCTTTGAGTTGATCCTCTCCCACCTTCAGCCTTAGCACAGCTCTCAGGAGGCGAAGAGTAGGCCGCCAGGCAGCGGCCAGCAGCCAGGCCTCAGCAGTCGCCATTAGAGGGAAGCAAGAAAAGGGGGGCTCTGGGGCACAGCCCGACCAATACTAATGGCTGTTTGAAATGTCAGGTTCCACGGGACAGTTATCTTCATTTTTATTACCCCCAAATCCACCAGGCTTGCCTCTGGAGAAGTTGCCCCACCTTTATTCTGACCATTAGAGCCAAACCTTAAAATGGCCCAAAGTTGATCCCAGTCGGTTCCCCCAAGATTGCAGAGAGGGAAATGAGAGTAGAGTTCCGTCCCTTGGAGATGGGAGGCAGGTCCAAGGGGTCGTCATCCATGGACTTGGAAGCCCAAGGCCATGTCCTCACATGAGCACCTTTGTTCTCTCTGAGCTCCTGGATTGCAGTCCTGCTGGCCTCTGCTGCCTTTGGTTCTGTAACAACTGCAATCTCTTGACAGGAGTTTCTTAGCATTTTTGGATTCTGTTTTTCTTCAAACCCACTTTTGATTTCACAAGCAGCAGGGATGCAGGGCTATGTGTGTAGAGACAGTCCCACACCAGCAGTCTGAGTCAAGGTTAGGGATCTTGTCCACTTTGTGCAGGGGGGAGGGTTAAGGGTTGGAGCTGAGAGTGTGTGCAAGGGATGGGGGGGAATAGTGTCTGCAGGAAAACCAGAGAATGAGATGGCGATTGTATTGTCCTTCTGATATTGTTGAAAAGTTGGGGTCTATTAGGGAGTATCTCAAGAATATAAGAAGATAGCATACAGGACTCTTCTAAAATCCAGCCACTTCAGTTGGCTGGCAGCCCCCACAGCCAGGTCCAAGGCAGGCTTCAGGAAGGATTAGTGCAAACTTGGAGCCCTTTTGCCTTTAGCAAAGAGAGGTAGCTTCAGATCCCCCCTTTTCCAACACACTTGCAATGAGCCTCAGACCCTCTCTCTGTTTCCCTTTTCAAAGACCTGAGATTCCAGACCAAAACTTTAAATTTCTTTTTTAAAAACGGGGGGGGGGGGAATCTTGTAAAACCTTTATGCCAAACAAAGTTATAAAAGCTTCCCGGGCGTTGCCTTTTCCAAAGTTTTATATGAATAATAAAGAGTGTAGTCGCGTGCAGAGTGTTCTGGCTGGCTCTAAGTGGGGAGGGTTTAGCAACAGCATTATCCAGCCCTAGGGCACCAGGAAACCCCAGGGCTGCCCCCTTTGGGGAATATTGGCACCAAAAAGGAATTGTCCTACAGATTCTTGAGAAAGGCGGGGTGGGGTGGGGGGAAGAAGGGGCAGTGCCCTTGACTCTCGTGAAGTTCAAAGTTCTTGGCCCTGGAGAAGAAAGCTGCCCAGTGGTCAGCCCACTCGAGAAATTAGCCCAAGGTAATTTCTCCCCTCTGATTGAGAACTGGCTGCAGGTAACCAGCTCTGTTCCTCTTTCTGGCTCCTAGTCTAGGCCTTTTTTGTGTCGCCCTAGGTCCCATCATCTGGGATGTTTAGAACCCCAGAATTTTTCCTCAGAGGTGCTTAGTGGGGGTTGTGAGCGGTCTTCCAAGGAACCATCAGTGCACTGCCATCCCTAACAGCTTAAGTTCTGATTGACAAAGTGACCACAGACCCAAAACTACTTCCCAACTAATTTCACATTCCAAGTCCCCTGGCTCCCCCTGTACCCCCAAAGCCCACAGCGGGAGGGGGAGGGGTCCAGAGAGCTCTCTCATCCCACACCACTTAATACCCTTGTAAACTCCCACGTGCGCTATAAACTTGGATTTTTACAACCAACATTCCTCCTTAGCTCCAGGAAACTTTGAACTCGGCCTCGGGTTTATTTACTTGGGGGTGGGGTGGGGAGGTGGGATTTGAGAAAGGTTGGAGGAAAAGAGAAAATGTGGAGCAAGGGGATGATGGGGTGGGGGTCCAGGGTGTGCTCCGAGAGCATCCACTGCAGATTTGTTTACTATTTAGGGCGGAAGCATTTTCTAGCACAGGCCAGACTGGGTCGTTAAGGGCGAAATGAAACTGGGTTTAGAGGCGTGGAGGGGGGTGTCTCTTTATGGCGGCGTCTAGACGAGGATCTTTTGTTCCTGTACTGTGCTGTGGCTGGAGGGATTACCCCAAGAGGTTGAGCCCAGAGTGCCCCTGGCCAGCAAGGGGGGGGGGTGGACATCCCAGCATCCTGAAGGTGGGTTTGTTTGGGGGCTAGAGACTCCTCTTTTTTCGATTTTAGATGGTCACTGAGGAGTGGCAGATTCCCAGGCCTGGGTCACAGAAGCTTTTGTTTTTCTTTCATGATGACTATCCTCTATCCTTCAGAAACCTCTTCTGGAGCTGAGGTTCTTTTCTGAGTTCTGCATTGCAGGGAGAGCAGTAGCTGCCAGTTTGAAATATTTTTCTCCAGAAACCAAGAGCTCTTTGGAGGTTAGTAGTTCGCTTTATAAACAGGTTTGTTCTATAGAGTTATGGGTATCCTGCTTAACACAGAACATGGCCAGAAGGCTAACCATCCCTGAGATGGCTAGTGGACAAACATACTTAAGAGAACTGTCACACATACAAATGCACAGAGGATCGCAGTTACATGATTCTCAGTTACATTCCTGTGCACACTCTTTGAACAGTGCCAATGGTTACAAGGTACAGAGGACACAAGTTCTGAATGTGCATGTAGTCAGCCTTCCAGGCAAAAGCACACACATGATATTTCTCCTCCTGTGCAAGCACAGGCACACTGACTTAAATAAAATCGGGGGGGGGCACATGTTAAGGGCCACATATACACCCTAGTTTGCAAATCTGGTCTCAAAGACTCATATTTACAAATCAAGACTGGGACACCTAAGCTTCAGGGATCCCTGCCATCAAAAACAAAGGCAGAGCCTAGATTTCATAGTCATGATGCATTTTCCTCTCAGCCAACAGAACAATACTGACAAAAACTTTCAACAAATTACACAAAAATAGAGAAGGGAAAGATGAGAGAACTGGTCCCAAACGTCTGCCCCCAAATAGGGAATGAATTGAGAGCAGACACAGACTGTGTCCTCACTGAAAGTGCTGAAAGAACCACAATTATCTTTACACAGAAGAAACATGCAGCAAATATAGGTGGGTGTGGCAACTGTTCCTACAGGTCACCTCTTTCCCCAGTGCCCCACCCCATGCCAGGCCCTATAAAGCACATCTCTGCAGCTTTCTACACTGGACACCTAATGTATAAACATCGGGGTGGCCCCAGCCTAGGTGTCTGGTTGTGCCTGGAGGAGCCTGGCCATTTGTGCCCAAGGAGAATGGGTCCTGCCCCACCTCCCCACACTCAGAGGCTTCATAGAAGACTAGAAGGGAGTGAGCTTCTCCTCTTCTCCCCGCCTTCCTTCAAAACTGTACATAAAAATTCCAATGGTCTTCTCATAGATGAAAAAAACGGAAAACCCTACCCTCAACACTACACATTTAACTGCGACAGACGGAGACATCTGGCAGGAGGGTGGTGGAGCCAAGAAAATTCCTATAAATTTAAATTTGATGATGGTTACAATTAACTCTACAACAAACGTGTACTTAAACAGAAAAAATTGCTGGGCATTTGGATACAGCTCAAACTGCACATGGGAAAGGAGGGCTTAGGAGTGGCCAGGGAATGGCCTTTGCTTGAGAGGGGAGGAAACCATTGCCACACTCCTGGCTCTGCCAGTGCAGGGGTGCTCCAGCTGCACCAGCAGCTTCCTGCCTCACCTCTGCATGCCTGTCCTCCCAGGCAGGCTTCTCTGCCTGCCTCCTCCTCCTCCACTGCCTTCTGCCTCCTCCTCCTCCACTGCCTTGGGAGCGTGGAAGGTTTTAAGAGGAGAAAGGTTAATAAAAAGGTCAAATAAAATCATAATATTGAACAGAGTGAAATATCTTTATTTGCCACCAAAAAATTCACAGCAATCCCACTGGGACAGAAGCAGGGTGGGTATTGCACATGTACACACACACTCACGCACATGGAGAGAGGTGGGTGATTTGAATCTCATTCCAGCGCATACTCCCCCATCCTCTCTAGACAGAAAGAAAGGCTTGTGAAACTTATTTACAAAAAAAATGTATATATATATATGTATATATATATATCAGGCCCCAGCATGGGAGAGGCGCCCAAACCCATCTCTCTACTGCTTTCCCTACTCCTCTTCCACCTCAATCTATCTTCTTTTCTTTCCTCTCTTCTTTCTTAGAAAGAAGGTAACAACTGCATAGATTAGCCATAAATCCATGGAGTGGGGCACTGCTTGGAAAAAGGTTAGGGCACCTCAATGCACCAGTTGAGAAATTTTAAAGGAGTGCTGTACACATTTAGAGGGAGAACAACTAGGTTCAGGCGGGGCCAGGGCGCAGACAGAGGTAGGACACGAACTTTGCACACCTAACACCAAGTCGAAGGTACAGAAATTTCACAGCAAGGCAGAGGATCACATTTAGCTACCCCAATCAGTAGGGCGAGGTGGAGTAGGGGCGGGGAGCCAGACAGGTCTCCCCTTGCAGTCAAGGTGTCTTAGAGGATCTTTTCACTGGGGCAAGGGAAGGCTTGCAGTTTCAGGATTGTTCGCTCAGGCGCTCACTACGCTTGCCCCTCCTCCCACCCAATCCGAGCAGCAAAACGTTGTCGCGCAAGGTGTGTTTCTTTTAAATAAAAAGAGTCTTGGGGCCTCGGCACCAACGAGGTCCACTCGCCGTGGGTCAGACACTTCCCTTCACCCCTTTTGTCAGGCCTGGCCTCTGTCCCCACACTGAGAGTCAGACCGAAGGTGAAGGAGGTCCCGGAAGGCGGTGCCAGCAACGGCAGTGGGGGCCAGCCCTGGCCACAGTCCAGATTTCCACCCGTGGAAAGAAGACGAGTTAGAAAATAAAAAATAAAAATAAAATAAAATAATTTCCCCTTTTCCCTCCCTCCCCCTAAAGACCCCGGTCTGCAGTTACAGCAGCGGATTTCCCGAAAAATACTGCAGCCGGTCTCTGCTCAGTTTTTTTTCTTTCATCCTTCTGTTTTGAAACCAAATTTTCACTTGTCGGTCCGTCAGGTTCAGCATGCGGGACAGCTGCAGCCGCTTCTCTTTGTTGATATACACGTTGAAGAAAAACTCACGCTCCAGTTCCCGGATCTGGAATTTCGAATAAGGGCAGCGCTTCTTGCGGGTGCGGGGGGCGTCTGGAGGGAGGGGAGGGGGCAAGTGCGAGGAGAGGGGAGAGAGACACGTGAGACCCGGGCGACCCCAGCCCGCCGGGCGCTCGGCAGCCCAGCTCCCAGCCCCTCCGCGGGCGCCCTCCCGCCGCCGGCGGTCTCTATGCCGCGGCCCCAGGCCGGGGCCAGCTCGACCCCCCTGCGGGGCTCCTGGGCCTCTGAGCGGCTGGCGCCCCGCCTCCCCCGCGCGTCCCTCGGGCTAGAAGCCCCAGCGGAGCGGGTCCGGCGGGGAAGGACAGCCACGTGGGTGCCGTGGCCCCCGCCCGCTCCTCTGCCGCCCTCTGTCCCTCCTAATGCGTCTGAAAGTCCACTGTCGCCTCCCCAGCCGTCTGGGGGAATCGCGGGGAACAGGCGCGAAGAATGAGATCTGGCGAGAGCAAGAGGAAGCCGAGAGGTCACCGGCGAGCAGGACCGAGACACCCGAGCTCTTCCGGGGCCCAAGCGCCCCGGGACGCCAGCCCGGAGCGACTCGCACGGCGCTCGCTAGGCCGGCGCTTAGGCCGCAAACCCTGGAGAAGCGCGGAGCCCCCGCCTGGAGCGCAGCGGAGCCCAGAGTCGCCGCTCCCCACGCCCCTGTCGCCACTGACCCCGGCTGCTCGGGCTTCTGCTCACACATCCACCACACAGTTTCAACCTTTTCAAACAGTTGTTTTTTTGTTTTGTTTTGTTTTTTAAAGCGGCACGCAGCGGAGCCGCCCGGCTCGCCTCTCTGGCCTCCGGTTCTGCTCCACCGCTCCTCTCCTCCACCTCTCCCCCTCTGGGCTTCTC